CTCTGCTCTGCTCTGCTCTGCTCTGCTCTGCTCTGCTCTGCTCTGCTCTGCTCTGCTCTGCTCTGCTCTGCTCTGCTCTGCTCTGCTCTGCTCTGCTTTGCTCTGCTTTGCTTTGCTTTGCTTTGCTGATGTTGATGTTGTTGTTGATGTTGTTGTTGATTACTATTATTACTAGCTTACACCTTACTTTAAAAGGAAAGCAGAAAAAGAAAAAAGAAAAGAAATAAATTAATATTATATTCCTAGGTTTAGGGCTAACAACAAACTTCTCTGTTACTGGTACTGGACAAAATGGCACCATCCAGTCATACACTGTGCCAAGTACACGGACGTACCTGATACGCACAGGAGGAGCACGCGGTGGTACTCATTCATACGACTATGGTACCAATCCAGGAACGTACTATGGTGGACGAGGTGCTACCATGGAAGGCTTTTTTCAATTATCCTCTGGTACTGTACTAAATATTGTAGTCGGTCATCGAGAAGGAAACTCAGTTGAAGTGAAAGGAGGGAAAGCAACAACAGAGACTGCAGCACAGCTTGGCTTGTCTGTTGAAGATAACGCCGGTACTGGAAGTGGAGGAGGCAGTTTCGTGTATACCACAAGCAACTCGCTTCTCATTGCCGCTGGTGGCGGTGGAGGAGCATCGGGAGGTTACAACGGTGTTGACGGTCAAGCAGGAACGAGCGGTACAGCCAGTAATGGTTCTAATCCATCAAATGTTGGTACAGGAGGCAGTGGAGGTAACCCAGGAACGTGTAACTCAGCTGGTGCAAGTTTTCATGGGGGATGGGGTTCTGGTTGGAATGGGCATGGATGTGTAAGATTAGGCACTTCACACGGTGACCGAGGTGGATCACGTCTTCAAGGGTGGGTCGGAGGCCTTGCTGGGAAAATGAATAGTGGTAATAACGGTGGACCCGCTCCTGGTGCAGTTGGAGGATTTGGAGGGGGAGGGGGTGGGTCAGAAGATAACGGAGCATCTGGAGGCGGAGGAGGGTACTCAGGGGGAGGTAGTGGCTCTCATAAAGAACAAGCCGGAGGGGGTGGGGGATCGTATTGTAGTGGTACCAGCTGTAGTGGTGTAACGGGTGGGAACGAGAAATATGATGGTTTCGTGGTGATCACTAATTGTTGAAAACTATGTTATTACTAATGTACACTAGGGGTTCTCTTATTATCTACTTTTTTTTTTAGCATTATTCGTATTATCATTATCAGTAACTCCTTTCAAATTCACGTGATACAAGTCGAAATATGAAGCGAACAAGCACAGAAGAATTTAGTGCCTTTAGCAACCGGAAAAGATAGATGAATTAGATGGATTTGGAAACGGATGTTCTTTGTCGTTCTCGATGCGTCATCCAAGTGAAACGCTGAACGTAATCTTAATTCCTTGTTCAAACCTTGGCATATTTTCCCATTCTAGCGTTTCCAGTTGCAAAAGGTACATATTTCTTAGCAGCGTACACCTAACTTCAACTTCATTTACACTGTGAAATGTATTTTACCAGAAATAGAAATATGAGTAACTGAAAGGGGCTAAGCTACTTTGAAAAGCTGGAACAGCTAAACGAGTTGAACAGCTATAGACCCTATGCAAAAAGGTAATGCCCTAGTTTTCATAAATCGAATGCTCGTTCAATCTAGTAATCTGACTTCAACTGTAAGACCACAAGTGAATTAACAATTACGCATTGTTTCAAAGTAAGACTTAGAGGACAAATATTTGTAGTAGAATTACAAAATAAACTTATAAGGGGGTTAAAAAGAGTTTGGTTTTAAGATGGCCGCCTTTCTCTCGCATTTGAAACTCTGGATTTCCTTTCGGTGGAGATTTATTTAATATTTCAAACAAACATCTGGGATATCCTTCTTTAATTTAATTTTGATGCAAGAGGACGCGGGGAAGAAAAAAGTTAAATATTCCGGAGCATCGTACCGCAAGAAACGTATGGCTGTAACCTCAACCCTTTTATGAGTTTCTCATGACCATCAATTAAAATGTATATCAAAAACATGCAAACTATTCTGCTCGAGCCTTGCTTCTCTTATTCCTGCAAATCTAATTTCAAAACGTTTGTTTCTCTTCTTCGGTATTTGTACTGGAAAACTGAAATTTTGCTCAAAGATCTCTTGCCTTATAGCGTCATTAGTTTACTCTACCACTACTAGACTCCCTTGCGCGCTTTCTTTTTTTTTTTTTCTTTTTTTCATTCAGTTAATTTGCACCTATAATTGTCTCACTATTTTCATGAGGAAATACAAATTTTAATAAGGAAAAAAGATGGCGCCATCATGCAAAAGACCTAATATCTTATTGAAATTGAAGCCTGAAAACTGTTGAAAACTGTTTCAAGTACTTGATATAGTGCTTCTTTTTACAAATGGCTTTTTGCAAAGGGTCTATAGGTCAGGAGGGAATTTGCTTAGTGAATTGATAATAATATTATAATAACGGTATCGAAAACATTATTTCCCAGATGTCAAAGAGATACGTATGCACCGCTCGTTTCCAAGATCAATTCACCTCATTAAGAAGTTTGAAGAAAAACATCAGAGCTAAGGTTGTTTTCATGTTCAATGTGTTGGTACGAAATACTTAATAAAACTGATTTACACATTAAATAAATCTTTGTGAGTGGTATTATTCTGGAATAAAAATCGGATTCTCAGTTACATGTTTTCTTCTTTTTTACCTGGAATGGATACATGAATTTGATTTATAAAAGTTTTTTTCTTCCATTGCGCTACAAGTTCACCATGTTTGGAGTTGTTAAAAAATTCTTTTTTGGTTTGATTGGCGCTATTGTATTCTGTTGAAACTCACTGGTAACCAACTCATCGCCGTTTTAAAGACCAAAGCTTAGCTTTCTAATAAATTGCAAAGCATTGAAAATTACCATATTTGAAATATTTATTGTTTGTAATTGTTGTTTTTCCAGCTGCTAATTTCATTTCTATGTTTTCGGTTTTCTTTATTGAGGTTGCCCAAAAGAGGGGAAAAAAGAGGGAAAAATGAAATGTAATGAAATGAAAATAAAAACTATACGACTATTTTCCCGACATTGCTAAAATTTACTCTGCATAGCACCGTCAATAAATTTCATTAAGGCGCTTTTGTCTTTGATGTTCTCATTTGTGAGAGATGTATCCAAAGACCTAACATGAATATAAAAGTGTATATACAAGATCATAACATTTTTTAAAAATTTAAAATGGCAAAAATTTAACATTTTTTTGGCAAAAAAAGGAGCTCTGCTCAGTAGAATTTTCAAAATGTCATATATATAAAACAACGTGAAAACACCTAAATGATAACCTGCTAACGATTGATGGCATCTTGGTGAGTAGATCAATACCACTTACGTCTGAATAGCTAATTGCTTAATCATCAAGGGTGGAACTTTGCAGTTTTGGTCATTTTACTTCCTATCCTTCGAGTACGAAGGATCGTTTGTCTTTAGCCATGACTTGGTTGAATGTAGTGCTGATATTATGTACAGTATACTACAGCAAGTGTAATGAACACAGCGACAACAAGTACGAATGACTTCCTGTTTAATGCTCTTTTCCAAAGTCCCTATTCCTTTATTTAAAAAAAATAGTTAACGCTGTGCACAATAACTTTCAAGAGTTTTTTTCTTCTTTTTTTTTTTTTTTTTCTTTTTTTTTTCCTTCGCACGTTTCGTCCGTTTTTCATCCGCTGGGGCGTTTTAGTTAAAATATGTTACGAACTGTATAATTTTAGTCAGTATTCCTCGTTAATACATCTTTTTTTCAAATAAAAGTCAAATTTACAAACATGCTTGCTAAAGTATTTTCTATAGCTATGTTAAAAAATCTTTATTGCTTGAAATGTTAGGCGGAATATTAAAAATGAGATAATATCAATGTCTATCAAGTCGGCGCATCCTTTTTTCTACTCTTTTCTTTTCTTTTCAAAGACCGAGTTTTCATTAGTACTATTGCGATTGACAAAGAACAAAATTAGATTTTCTACTCCGCAAACAAGATCGATAGCCGTGCGATTAAACTCCATACATTTCTTCATATAAACCTCACAAGTTCTAACTAAAAACGACGGGATTTGCCTTTATTTAAAGAACTTTAATCTATTTTTCCTCGTATAGAATAAAAACTCTAAGTATCTGTCATAAATATTATTTTCTAACAAAGTCGTTGTGAACAACAACCTTGTCTTAATGGTGGCACCTGCAGCCTTCAGAACAACAGGCAGGAATGTCGCTGTCAATGTAAGACAGGATTTGATGGGAACAACTGCCAAAATGGTGAGTTCTAAACCCAATATCAACTACTTTAAACTTTTGAAGGCACATTACAAGACTATAAAACAGTCAGTAGAGGAATCTTTTTGAGTGGAAATCGCTAAAGATCATTAGAAAATATAATTGAGTTGGGAAAAAAATTAAATTAATTCTTGCGTAAAATAAAGTTTTGCATGGAATTTCTTGGTAAAGCTGCTGTTTCGCTACTATTTGATTTAATGGCTTGACGAGTTCATTCCAGCAAAATTAAGAACGTAAAAAGGCACCTGCCTCGAACAAAACTCTCCTACATTAGAATGCTCGTGGCACTGACAAGGTATGATAATTTATTCGCTCATACTTTGGGGTTAGGAAGACCATGAGGCAATAAAAACCGTGGTATACTTTGGACCTTGACCTTTGTGAAGGGGTGCAACCTGCCCCCCCCTCCCGAGTTACGGCTCTGCTCATTCTAATAGTAGACAGTTCTAAAAAGTAACATTTCGAAGCTGGTAATACCTTGTCGTTCAAAGTTTAATTTACCTTAATATTTTCTGTCGTCATAAACATAGTTCTATGCTGATGCATTATCGTTAAAAAATTGCTTATTTTTTGAATCCTTTTACGTCTACGCTGAGGCTTCGTCGCCCGTACAGCAAAACCAGAAAACAGAGCTCACAAGTAAAATATTGGTCACTACTTCTGGACTGTGTCTTCAGTTTTCGTACAGCATGTATGGATCAAGCATGGGGTCACTGAATGTTTATATAGTGGATGTCAAAACAGGAACAAAGAAAACGGTTCTTACAAAAAGTGGTAACCAAGGTCAACAAAGTAATTAAATGCAAAGTTTACAAGTACTAATAATTTTAATGTATTGATTATTAGGTATTCATGTTATGATAACGACTGAGATAGAACTATAATTTTCAAATCCATCCTCAAATCATACACTTACAGTTAACGCCTGAAGCAATTTGATAAAAATTGCACTTACAATATCAGTTATTATCGATGCATGCAAATGAGATGCAAATGAGACAACACGCATTGTATCGACCCAATAGCATTACTTGTATGATTCTTAAAACAAAAGAATATTTCATGCGAGCTTAACTGCAATAACAGCTATTGTATAGAAAAGTGCGCTTTCCTTCATTTGCACATCCTATCATCCTGCGCCCCACCTTTAAGGATATATCCTGCATATTAAAACCATTAATTACCAAATTAAACAGTCATGTATTCTTAACATCTTACAGGCTAAGCCTGAGTAAATGAGTCTGTAATCAAGGAACGCAGCGGTAATTTGGAACTCGAAAAGGGTCTATTTGGTAGCCTTAATCAAGTGAGCTGCAAAACCTGTAAGGCTTTCCGCGCGTCCACCCTGGAGTGGCAAATTCTATAGGACTTTAGTAGGAGCCGTGGAGATTTTCTGGAAGTTAAGGAGAATGTAGTATTCCCAAAAGTCTTTGCTAGTGAATTCTACCCAGTACCTCACTCTTTAGAAGAGAAATAGTTTTGACCGAGAAAAAACTGGGTTTGGTGAGGTAAAGAACATTCAATGATCCACTTAACTAATAAAAACGCACAAAACTTTATGACTATATTTTTTATTTGTTTTTATGACTACATTTTGCTTTAAATCCTCATACACCCCACCCCTCACCCCAACCCCACCCCCAATATCATTGTTTTCAAATGTTCCCCATAAATGTATACTTTGTAGTAATATTTTTATCGGGATGTCTTGGATAGTATTGATATATGATTTCACTTGTTGGGTTTATCTGGTAACTAGGGAATCTTCATGTCCTATTTCCATTGTTTTCGTTGCCACGCGTGAAAACAAGACAACAATCACGAACGATGAAATTGGGCAATAGACTGCCATCAATCTATCGGTACCTTAGTAACATACTCTGATGCCAAAAAGAAATGATAATAAATAATACAAGCTTCAATTAAGGGTCTACAAAATAAATCTTGGCTAATCCATTCATTATAATAAAGCCATTGTATTAGTAACCTTGTAAAGTGGCAGAATCAAAGCGATTAGAGCAACGTTTACTCTCGATTAGAACATTGTTTCAAGTTCTCAATTTCTAAATATAGACGTTTTATTTTACATAGCACATGGTTTAAATATTTTTTTGAAAGTTCTTTATATTTCATGACATGCCAAAGTAACTTGGTAATGAAAAAAATTCCGCCAACGTAAATTCATTGGAAGATTTAAAATATTCATAGATTTAAAGCCAAGACAATGTTAAAAAAAAGTTTTTTAACAATGAAGCCCATACACATTTTTGCAAAGGCACGCGAGGCCCTCGAAGTTGAATAGTATTTTGGCTCTTTAGAGGGTCATTTATGCACCAATTGGTTTTTCTCGTTTTTCTCGGAAATAAAGCGATATTTTGGCAAATGAAGTATAGCACGGTTTATATCGCCTCAAGGTCTTCCTAAAAATGAGCGAATTCGATTCTTCGACTGTTGCCGGCGTATATTCGATTTTGTCTGATTTTTGCTGACATCTTCTCTTAAGTACGATGTTAATATGAAAATCCGACACCCAGTGGCATGGCGAGCAACAATAACAACAACAACAACAACAACATACATTTGAAAGGAAAATCAAAAACATTTATTTTTGGTGTCATACTAAGTCCAAAAGTAGCTCTTACACTCGTTTTCCCCCCATTTCTTTCTTTTACAAATAAACTATTTATATTTAGAAAAAGATTAAAGTAACCTACAAGACGAGGCTAAAAGATTTTCTAAAACAATTACTAGCGAATTCTTACAATCAGCAAAAACAAAAAATATTTTTTTAGCATACAACAAAGCTACTATATCTACTATACTAGTCTCAGTCCATTTGGGGTCCTTTTTTTTTTCTTGCAATCGGCAAAGCAAGCGTTGAGACAATATGTTACTGGCAAACGACGCCAGAATCTTCAATATGGCTACAGCCGGCGTTGTTACTAATCCATCCACGGTAACCACACGATAGCAAGGAGTCTTCACTGCCAACACAATGAGTCCTGTCAATCCATATTGGTCCGGTCCCCTGACCATAATTCGCACTTCTTGGAGCGGACGAAGCACTGGAATATCCAAGCTCACGGCAAACTACGTTAGCGTCATTCATATCCCACGCATCATCGCAGACCGTACCCCATTGGCTATCATGGTACACCTCCACACGACCGGAATTAGATGCACCGTTAACAAGTCTCACTCTTTTCTGGCACTTCACAGAGGCGTCTTCAGTATGGGAGCAGTTGTGGGTGCCCCATCGCGCGCTAGGACAGTGGAGAATGTTTGACTTGGAGCCCGTGCACGCTAACTCATGTAACCAAATCTGCCCAGTGCCTTGACCATACTGAGCGCTGTAATGTGCTTCAATTGCCCCTGGGAATCCAAGTTGTTTACATACTACATTTGCATCGTTCATGTCCCAGTTGTAATCACATATTGTTCCCCACTGACTGTGGTGAAACATTTCAATTCTTCCTACGCGAGAGGAACCGCCAACAAGACGCAGGGATCCTGGAGCCAATGCTGTTGGATAAGGATATAGTCGAACACAGTTTATGACCGAAATATGGATATATTTTATCAGTAATAGGGAAGCTGCTGAATTTGAACTAAAGGAACTGATAATAATAGATAATAGCACGGGTGGTGTGTCCATCATATGTGAAAATTGTTTTTTTCTTTCTCCTTTTCTTCGAAGAGATTTCTTCGAGTTGTCCAAATTTCTTCCCTCCGAAAATCATCATCGAAATTCCGATTTGATTATGAAACAATGCCACGGATTTGTTAGCAACTGACTATTTTAAGGTTGCTATATCATAAGGCAAGGACGAATTAACAAAATTAAATATAGTTGCTTTATGTAAAACTGTGAAACGACACCGATACACACTGTTGCTGTGTGACAGAATTGACACAATCACATAACGAGAGATTATTGCTGTTTGTTCGAAAACCGCAACGTCACGTTTACGGCACAACCCATGATTATTGTGATTTTTCATTATCTTTCCCCATCTATTAATGGGGAAAAAGTCATTCATAGACTATTCCTTACTTACCTTCATATTTAGCCGAAAAGCCAGTATTTTTTCGGTTCTAAAAGTTATATGTAGTTGATTTGAAGAACTTGTTATATAGGAAGGTAATGTGCTTCCACTGTAAGAACCGAGTTGGGGAGACGAAGTGGAATTACCATCATAGACTCTAATGTGGTCACAGCAACCTTCTGTATTGAATGTCTTAAAGTAAAGACCGATATTGGTGTTCGACGAGATAGTCCAATAGCAGTTCTGATTATCACTGTACTGTGTTGGGTAGCCTGGTGACATGATCTCGCCACCATGAGGGATGGTAGACTGGTAAAGAATGCCACAACTGTAGGAAGCGGACATTGTAATCGCTGAAATTAATAATAAAGAGTAGAAATGAAAAATTAGTAGTTACTCTACAAAACTTAAGTAAAAAGATAATAGTTAACAAATCGGCAAGGCTGGCGTAGTGGTAGTGCACTCGTCACCTTCGCGGTCTCGAGTTTGATTTCTGAGGTTATAATCAACGGTTACCGTCGCTTGATGCCACACTGTTCTAGAGTGCCCTCTCTCACAAAGTTTGACTGCAACTCCCCTTAATTAGGGATTGGATTTATTTAATATACCATTGCAAGTGCGTCCATCACCAACATATCCATTATTACAGACGCATTTGTAAGATCCAAGAGTATTAACAAAACATGCGCTACTATGACAACTATGCGAACCAAGACATTATAAACTAATTACGATTTTGAGACGACAATAGAGCGGATGCAATTAAACTGTGAAATCAAATCAAACTAAATACTAACTAATAGTATCTATTTAGTGAGTAATCGTTGCTATCACTCAATCAGAACATTTATTAAACAAAAGATTTGTCTTTGTATGATGAATGTTCTAATAGTAATAGCAACTATTAGTATAGGAAATCGCACGATCTCGAGTACAATTTGGAAATTGATAGACACGAGTAATGTTTTGAAAGTTCTTGTAATTGCACGAGCCTTTAGGCGAGTACAATTAAAGAACTTTCAAAACATTACGAGTGTCTATTAATTCCAAATTGTACGAGAAGATCGTGCGATTTTATATTTATAGTTCACTTAACAAAATTTCAGTAAAAAATGCGAAGCGACGCCGTTCATCTTTGTCTATTTGGCGGACGATTCCAGTCCATCGTGCAACTGAAATGCATAAAAGAGATTAGTTCTTACGGCTTTAAACTTTTATTTATGCTTTTTAAGTACAAAATGATAGAAAATAATTGTTTTGACATTGTTTTGGCCGTGTTGCCATAGCGACTTAATTCGGTACTCCTACGGAGTACAATTAACGCTATAATTGTACTCCTCTCGACCAATCAGAGTCGAGTAATTTTGTTGAGTGTACTATAAGTCCCTAAATAGATACTATTAGTTATTTTAGGTATTTAGTTTGATTTTATTTCGCGGTTTAATTACATCTGCTCTACCACGAAATATTGACGGCTAGTTGGGAGAAAATATACTGAATATACCGGTATTTTCTTCCAACGCCGTCAATATTTCGTGGTATAGTCTCAAACTCGTAATTAGTTTTGTATCGCGATTATAAAGAATTTAACACACAAAAAGGAAAAAAAACTGACCGATTTTCTTTGATTAAAAGCGAAATTCTCCTTACGAGCGCGCGGTATTGCGCAAGCAATAAGCGTAAAATTTGACGCGCGCGTGCTCAAGCTTTCCTTTTCGTCGCTTGTTAGCCAATCAGAAACCTTTATTTTGAAACGACAATACCGCAAAATATTGTCTTCTCTAAAATATAAGAAACTATTTAGTGAATCGCGATGCTTGTTGATATCTGCGAAGAAAAAAATAAATCAAACCTTACAAATGGAATTATCGATTGGGTGGACATTGTGTTTATGAAATATTTTAATTTTATCATAATGTATTAATTTGCCAACAATTTCAAACATTAGGTTTTAAACTTTGTTGTGCTTCCGGCATTTTCCAATAGTAGTACATCCAAACTGGCCTTTGTCCCACGAATCAATGATTTAGAATTGGGATCGAATGATTAAGATCTATTGTTCCAGTGGCGGAACAATGGAAATAGATCCAGAGAGACAAAGGACAGAGCTAGTGAGACTCTGGTGGAAAAAAGGTGGGCGGATGGGAGGGAAAAGAAAAATTCGGCTGTTCCTCAAAACTCCTTTCTATGGCTTTTTCCTCGATCCAATTAAAAGCCGGATTGAAGTTCGCTGCGTTCGGCCCCACCATACCAGTTTGATATTACCAGGTTCGATATTCTTCATCACGTCGGTTTGGGCAACTAACATTGGGTTAATTGCCGGTTACTTGTTATATATTCTTGCATATCATTAAATCATCTCCGGTGGGATTTATGGCCAGTTCGAATAGTTTTCTGGTTGACAATAATCAATCAAAACAAATGACATCACTGTATATTAACCAGCTACGCACTAATAAACGCATAATCTTTGTGGCGATCCAATTCGGAAAGAAAAATCATGTTATTAGAATTTTATATATTTTGACGAATGAGAATGGTGTTTGTCTCGGTTACCTTGACAATGGGAATGGAGTGCCACATAACCAACTGGGCATCTGCAGATATACGAACCAACAACGTTTACGCAAGTGGATCCCGGAGGACAGTCGTAAAGGGACTCACTGCATTCATCAACATCTGTCGGTATGGAAGAAAAACTAAGTTAATAGGTACGAAGTGGGAGAGAAAGAAAAACAGCTTCACATGGAGGCGAGGAAGGGAAAAAGGAACACTGACGAAAAGGACAAAAAAGAACAATTAATGAGAATGAGTAGGGAAATGAAAAAATACACTAGAAATTCTTATTGTGCTGCCACCTTCTGTTTTACTGCCAGTTTTCAAACTCCCAAGGACGCTTTCTTTTTTCCTGCAGTAAGCTATAGCTCTATTAAGCAGCCAACCTTTGGCCTCTATTCCCTTGACGCCACTTGACACATCTGTGGCTACCAAGTCACATGCTATTAGCATCACGTGATCACGCGCAGAACGTGTTTCTAGTATATTATCGTATGACCGTGAATCTTAGAGCCTGGACACTATCAAATCGAGCAATCTGATTGGATAGATCGCATCGCGGACTGGTCTAGATTCTCCGGTATTAACCGGTCCGATCGCATATTAATCTTACGGCGAAAACATTTTGTCCTTTTCAATGAAAAGTGGTCATATAATAAAACTCTTATCAACCGAGCTTGGTCGGTCTGTACGGGATAATCTTGACCTCGGTCTGTACATTCCGACCTCGGTCAAGATTATCCCGTACAGACCTCCCGCTCGGTTAATAAGATCTACTATTGTCAGTCTACTGTGTAGGTTATCGTTACAAGCTAGGGTAACCAGCCTTTAATTTATTAATTTATTTATTTTTAACATCATGTGGACATTAAGGTGTATTTGCTCCTTGGATAATTATCGAAGATTTGATTTATGTTTCTTCAAGCATATTTTGTTCGGAAAAAAATCATGTAAACAGTCAARATCCGTAAATGTCTTTCGATTTGTTTTAAAAAACCTGCCAAAACCTGAACTAAACCTGTACTGAATTTAATTACGGTCAGTCAGATGTAGATGTCCTGGAGAATGTGCTTAGATGAGTTTAAAGTTTGTATCAAATAATCTTTTCTTGTGAAAAAAGAAAGAAAAAAACTTAAAATCTCTCCAGAAATGAAGAACAAGCTTTGGACAATTACGGCTCACTAAACAGGGATAGTTTTTCGTCACTTTTCAACGTTTTGACTGTTTGAAGCAAGCATTAAGGACGAAATAGTTCATTTTATTTCAAAAATCAAATACAAAACGAAAAAGGAGGGAGGACTTAAACTCCCTGATTTTGAAAGTATKCTTAATGCAAGCCTTAATTGGATAGTTAGACTACGAGATAGCACTTTTAGATAATGGAAGAATATACAACTGATGAAATTAGGGAAAGTAGGAGGAATTACTTGTGTACAAGATATCACTGAATTACCTCATGACCTACCCAAATCTTATGAGAGTGCTCTAAAAGTATGGGCAGAGATCTGCCATACGACAGCAGATGATGCAGACCCTAAATCTATTTTGGAGCAACGTTTGTGGGACAATGTCTTCATCAATATTAATTGTTGTGTTAGTTGAGTAAGTAACCATATTTTTTCTTAACAATACTAGGGTGTAGGAAGCTTCCTCGTTAACCCTTTGGGTCGTATTCCTGCACTTTACCACCATAATAATTTACCCTTATGTTTTTTATGTATTATTTTATATTGTTGTAAGTGGAAATAAAAAAACTTGTGAAACTTGTAAAACCTTAGAAGATTTCTTAGTTGTAATATACCGTATATAAAGGACATGTGGAGACCTAACATCGGTTTTAATTGGCAAGAGGCATTGAATAAGGGTCTTACAAACTTGGATTGGCTAACTTGGTGCAGTCTGATTAAAGCTATTCCAGCAAACTGGGTTAGAAGTTTAAACAAGTATAAACAGTGTAAATATAAAGATATCACTTCAACAATAAAAATTAAAATCTCACAAAAAGCAATGGAATAGCTAATAGCAATGAAATAACTAATAATAATGACTTGAACTTTGAATTATAATTCATTCTGATGATGATCACTGGAGAGTGATCGAAATATCAAGCAAATAAATTATGCACAGAAAATGACTTCTCGCATTTGTATAGGAAATCGCATGGTTTCGAATGCACTTTGGAATAAATTTGCACTCACGGGTTTTCAAAAAGTTCAAAATCGCACGAGCCCGATACGAGAATACCATGCGATTTCTTGTTAATAATATAGATGCAAAAATTTCGAACCAAAATTAGATGGAAAAAATGCACGAAGCGAAGAACTCGTTTGTTTTTGTCAAAAATCGGTTTACAAAATAATATTTTATTTACAAGACAGGAAAGAAGTATGAATAACAAAGATTACTTTTGATCTTTAAAAAGTAAAAACATG